AATCACGCTAGTGATAATAGTGATAATGCCTCATTTATCAGTGTTTGATCAAGCAGAAACTAGCATTTTAAGTGACACCGATAATAATAATTATTATTATGAGCCTACCGAGACTATCGGAATCAAGGTGAATGACTCTTTCTCTCTCTCTCACACACACACACAACAGACATACATACATACACACAGCAAAGACGAAGGATAAACGGAAGTATATTTTTAACTCCTCTGTGTGTTCGTGTTGGTGTACTGCTCTTCGATCAAGATTTGTTGACTAGATAATTTTAAATATATATATATATTTTAAAAAAATTTCCCCTTTTTGCCCCATGTCATTTAAGTGAAATGAATAAAAATTCAGATAAATAAGTAAATTAACAACAACAGCAACAACAACAACAAAAAAAGGAATTTGAAATAGATTTCCGCGGGAAAAGGTATCATTAATTATCGTGTGATTATCGTGCATTTATCATGTCATTACTAACAGAGAATGAGAGGGAAATCATTGACATGAATCCATTAAAACGAGCATAATAATAATCATTATTATTCACTGACATACACTCACACAGGCACACAGAGATACTTCTACTACTTACTACCTTTGTTCTTCACCTCACACCTCACAACCCCCATAACCCTCGTATCCTTCATGAAGAACTGAAATATCTTAAATTGCTGAAATATTATGATTAATGATAACTGAAAATGAAATACGTGAGATTTTATATTACTTTGTTTTTCTAAAGAATATAAGCTGTACACATACACACACATGCACACAAAGACTGATGGCTTGAAAAAAAAAACAATTCCTAATTAATAATAAAGATTTTCTATAGTTTGGTTTGTAAGGATCAGATTTGTGGTTGTACGAGTTGATCACGCACGGATTGATGATATCAGTTAGAGAAGCATTGGAAAATCAGCCAGCTGTTTTAGCAGGCTAGTTCGGGAATCAACAGGCAGTAGGCACCCACCCACCCCACTGCCAGGGTTCGAATCCAGAACCTATCGGTTACAAGGCCAGCGAGTTCATATACCATTCATCAGCCAATGGGATCCGATTTTTAATGGCCAGTGTATGAATTCTAACTTCTACTAATTTGTGATTCACCGCGACCTCCAACCAATGTCGTTGGTGAGAGACTTATAATATGCGGTATGGAATTCTTAGCATTTCGTACAATATTCCATTTAATTTACTCAAGAACAACAATAACAACAAATGCATAAGCAAAATTGATAACAGGATCTTATTTGGGATTAACAGAGACAATAAAATCAAAAAGTGTACAAAAGTATAAAGCAATAGAAATAGTGCTACTGTGGTGAGAGCTGGCTCTTAGCCAAAGTTGGTAGACATTAATTTACGTCAGTGTTTATGTCCCCAATATTGGTCGTGAGAAAAATGAGAACAAAGGCCTTGCGTAGGCGGATACAGTTAACATATATAGATGACCTGACATTCAAGAAACAGCCGCAAAGAGATGCAAGGTTAACTTTCCGAGAGAAACAACCAATCAGAGGACTGTGTTTTTCTGCTAACAATAATCTATAATATGTACATGAAAATCTATAAATATGTGTTGATTTCCATAATAAAGAATCTGTTGCTTGGCCCTTGTCTTCTGTCGTTACGCTACTACAAGAGTCTGACTGACTGACTGGTTTCAACATAAAACTTTGCACCGATGTGCAGCAGTTCAAGTTGCCAGATTCACTCCATGTACCACACAAAGCAAGAGAAGAAAGTAAAAAGAAATGCAAAGCAGAAACAGTAAACAGAGATTTGTGGCAAATAGAATAGTAATACCAGAGAACAATTTAGTTTTATTGGATATTATAAGTCACAAGGAGTGGATGCATCTGCACTGGCCAGGCATTGAGAACGATTTTGAGCTATATCACCGGTTGTTTCTAGCCTTCATTGGTTTTTACCGTCCTGAGGACCCCAACCAAAAAGTTTACACCTCAAAACATGGCTTAAACTAACTGTTGTGGATTTCATTGGCTGATGTCATGTTTTGGTTTTACCACCACTGTCTCTTTTCCAACGTCATCGATCACATGTCAGCTAACATTGCCCATTGTCGAGGTAGGCGATGGCTAGGCATGTGTAACACATGTCCTAACCATCTCTCTCAGTCAATGTAACTTCCTAACCTGGTCGATTGATTTCCCCTCCTCACTCTGCACTCAACGCCTAACCTCGATATTGCTCATCCTATTATACTACTTCACACGGGAGATAGAACGCAAACATCTATGACCAAAGACAGCTTTTTCATGTCTTACAGCCATATAGGAGAATGGAGTGGACTGCCAAGCAGATAGGAGTATAAAAAGAGAGTTATTTGCTTTGCTAATTACATAGTAACTTGTTATAGGTTTCACGCTTAACAGTAAGTGTGTCTATCACATAGAATGCGGAAGGGACAAATACGGTATCATTGAGTTTCTATAGTTAGTTGTGTGAGCGAGTAGATAATCTTTTATAATGACTTCTACTCAGTCCTTTAGGATGAGATTCAACTGGAAGGGGGGAAAGTTGTGTGAACAGAGTGGATGTTGCAAGAGTTAAACACCAAGGATTTAGGCAATTACTCTCATGAGATCAGGTTTTCTGTCGACTTACAAGTGGTACAATACTTTTCCTACTGACAACCTTTAATATCCTTTACAATATGACATGAATTTTTAATATATTTATTCGTTGAAGTTTCTGCAGCGATTTGGTTGTTTTACAGGGGTGGTGTTGCTAGCACCACGCCCCAACCCTCCCTCTATACCCGGGCTTGGGACCGGCGAGAAAACTAGTAAGCTAGTAGCCTAGCAAGCTAGTATCTGGCGAGGTTCTGGAAATCTTCGTCACTCAGCCTGCATCAACAACAAAATTCGGATTTTCAATACAAACGTAAAGTCAGTCAGTTCTTCTATACGGATCAGAAACTTGGCCGGTCACAAAGAATATTTCCAAAAGGCTGTAGACCTTTATTAACAACTGTCTTCGCTCAATACTGAAGATCAGATGGCCGGAAAGAATCACCAACAAGGAATTATGGGAACAAACAAAGCAAGAACCAATCGCCAACCAACAAATATGCAGGAGAAAGTGGAGATGGATCGGACACTCACTGAGGAGACCGCTGGGTGACATCGCGCGCCAAGCCCTCGAGTGGAACCCGAAAGGGAAGCGGCGTGTGGGACGTCCAAGGGTGACATGGAGGAGATCGTGTGAAGAGGAGTTGAAAGAATATGGATTAACATGGATGCAGGCGAAAAGTATAGCAGAAGACAGAAGAAAATGGAGACGTGCAGTTGAAGCCCTATGTTCCACTAGGAACCCAAGGGAGCAATAATAATAATACAATATGACATATTCCTTTCTGAGTGAGTAACCCAGATAAGACTAAGGAGGAGAGCAGTAAAGAACCATCGATAGGATATAAGAGTTAATAAAATAAAGTAAACGTAGAGAGAGAGGTTGAATGATTCCTGATTCTCTGAACTTCTCAACATAGAAGGTGGTTAAACGAAACATTTTCATAGAAATCGACAACAAAATATGGAACAACCTATAAAGGTCAGAGGATAGAATTATTCCAAGGTATTTAATGCTTGATTTAGTTTCTATTTTAGTGTCGTCTACGCTACAAACATCTTATGAAAGACTAGGTTTTTACCCAAAGGTGAAGTTAAGTGTCTGACACTAAGAGGTACCCTCAACGAGCAATGTTAGCGGATATAGGGTCAGGCTGGAAAAAAGCTAGCGGCGGTCAAACAAAAACTTGGCACCAGTCAATGAAATCCACAACAGTTGGTCTAAGCCACGTAGAAAGGTGTAGACTTCCAGGCTGGGGTCCTTGGGACGTTAAAAATCTATGGTTGGAAACAATTGGTGACATGGCTCAAAATCGTTCTCAGTGATAGCGCAGATGCATCCACTCCTTGTGATTTATGATCTCCAATGAAACTGTTTTGTTTTTCTTTATTACTCCTTTGTCTCACACCTCTGCTCACTGTTTGTATTATGCTTTTCTTGTACTTTCTTCTCTTGCTTCGCGTGCTACACGGAGTGTGGCGACTTGAACTTCCGCACATTTGTGCAAAGTTCTATGTCGAAAACAGACAGACAGACAGACAGACAGAAGAGGTACACATTGATGAAGCCAGCTTATCTTTCATATTCAAGGGGATCACATTGATGAGGCATACTCTTTTTATAGTCAATCTGCCCTTGCTTTCAGTCAAAACAAATAAATTTACCAAGGAAAGTTTAACGTGATGACGAACTTTTTGATGAATGCGTAATGGTGGTTTAAACTTCCGAATCGCCCAAGGATATGCCTCAAACACGCTTTACAGACAGGTTTAAAAGACGTGTGTAAACACCAATTTTGTCCCCTCTCTAGTTCATGTTTTTACGCAATAGAGTAGTTAGGTGGTCATCTGGTCTCACCATTAATGAGTCCTGGAAATTCAGTTCGCTTTTTAAGTCATTTAGGAAGCCATATACTCTGAAGTCCCTGTTTGAATATGGGATGACCAAGAAAGATTGAAGGATAGAACTACTCCAGGGTTTCTATTACAGTGACCTTTAGGCTGGTAGGATCTTGCTGATCAATAAGTTTGTCTGGATTACGTTTATGTCTGACATTAGGAGGGCTTCATCGTGAAACCAGTCAGCTTACACGACTGAATTGTGTCCGATAGTGACTAGCAACGAGACAGAAATCTTCCGAAAGTGTCAAGTGTCATTTACGAAGAAATAAAGAAGACAAAGAGGTGCTCAGAACAGCACTTTGAGAGACACCGACTTCAGGAGTGATCAGGGCAGAGAAAGATTTTCCCTTAAATACAGGATACTGCTCTCTGTTCGGGAAACAGCTAGCTCAAGACTCATTTTGTGTCAAGGAGAGGTTATTTAACAAAAATTTGAATCAAACAGGAAAGTCAGACATAATAATAATAACAATGATAATAATGATACTTACCAGAGGTACAATTAGTAACACATCCTGGCCATTTCCAACATTCACATGATTTTAAACTATCCGTATTTAGCATGAATGGAGGTGTATTAACTTTTTCATTCATCATATCAACATTATCATGATCAATATTATTATTATTACTTGAATAATATTTGAATTTATTATTTTGTAATGAAGATACTGATGACTGTTGTATGCTTTCAGCATTTACTTTATGTATAGTATAATTAACATAAATAATTATGATGCAGAGAAGAATAGATCTGCTGAATTCACAAGAATTGAATACCATCTCAATAGGAACAATCTATAATGGAAAAAATAAATAAAAATAAAAAGATTTATTACAGGATTTCATCGTCAGGTGACATCAATTAGAGAATCAGCTAGATGTTTCATCCCATTTTGGGGCTCTTCAGCAGGGTGCACCCACCCTGTCTCTCTTCGACATAGAAATTCACAGATATGTGCACCAGTTCAAGTCGCCACACTCCCTCCTTGTAGCACACAAAGCAACAGAAGAAAGTAGAACAAATGCATAATAGAGACAGTAAACTGAGGTGTGAGACAAAGGAATAATAATAAAGAACAATGCAGTTTCATTGGAAATCATAAGTCACAAGGAGTGGATGCATCTGCACTGGTCAGCCATTGAGAACGATCACTCTGAGCCATATGACCAATTGTCTCCAACCTTCATAGGTGTTTACCATCCCGAGGACTCCAACCAGTCAGGAAGTCTACACCTTCCTACGTGACTTAAACTAACTGTTGTAGCATTGATATAAGAATAAAACTTGTGCACTGTGGTAGAGTGTAATTCCATTGTGGGTAAATTTTGTTTTGATAAAGTCTCACAGTGTTATACAGTAATGTTTACTGATGACGTTTCGAGCACAATTTATTGCTCATAATCATATGATATGTGCTCGAAACGTCATCAGAAAACATTACTGTATAACACTGTGAGACTTTATAAAAACAAAATTTACCCATAATGGAATTAACTGTTATAGATTTCATTGATTGGTGCCATGTTTCGGTTTGATCGCCGCTGGCTCTTTTCCAGCCTGACCCTATGTCAGCTGACATTGCCAGTCGAAGAAGGTGATGGCTAGGCATGCGTGTGTAACACATATCCTAACCATGTCTCTCGTCGATTGATTTCCCCTCCCAATTATCTAGCACTCGACCTATGCCTAACCTTAATATAGCTCACCTTATTATACTGCCAAATCACACGGGAGATAGAACGCAGGCACCTATGGTCGAAGACAGCTTACCTTTTCGTGTCTTCCACTCTCAATGGCCACCTACCCACCCACCACAGGGGTTCAAACCCAAGACCTTCTGGTTACAAGGCTAGCGGAGTTCGTAAACCATTCATCAGCCACTGAGACCTCATCCAATGGCCAGCCCATGAATTCTAACTTCTGTCAATTCACGCACGATATAGTGCAACTGGCACTAGTCACTAATGTCACCTGTGACAAGTGTTTGTCCTTACACCCGACGACCCGCTGGGAGACCCCACTGGTCACGATCTAAACACTTATTATTAGTGATAAACCACTGTAAAATATAAACCATGGCACATATCAGAGACTTGAGATTTACTAATATGAATGAGACAGTATTGGATACATATGTATATATATTTAAATTTCTTATGTAGAAAATATAGATATATATGAAAATGGCTAATACACATGAGCCATTAAGATAACGTCTTACCATGATTGGTTGTAATGTCATGTGATAACAAGGTCATACATGTTTATTTAGTTAGTGGACAGACAAAGGCATAATGTCAGTTATAATGGAATATCGATCCATATACACATAGCAAAATATAATAGACTGTCAAAAACAAAACACATCATGTGGATACATATAACTATCCACTAGACCACTTGGGTCACAAAAAGAGCCGACTTCCACCTATTGCACTCGATGGGTATCAGGTGTTGTTATTTAATTCAATACTGACTTTCCACCAAAATAACAAGTTGGCAGAAGAAGCATCCAGATAAGATAGGACTTCAGGTGAACATAAAGAAAACAGAGTTGGGCGATGAAGATTCCTGGCCAACAGAAACAGCAAAAGACAACAATCAGCATAAATGGGAGGAACCTGAAAGAAGCAGCCTCCCTCACCTACCTGGGGAGCAGAGTTTCAACTACAGGCAGACGAAACTAATGAGGATATCAAAGCGCGAGGATCGCGAAAGCTAATCAAGCTTTCATTACTCTCGAGTCTGTGTGGAGGTCAACAGCACTACTCAGCATGAAAAACAAGATCCGGATTTTCAACTCCAATGTAAAGTCAGTGCTACTTGCTATACAAATCAGAGACTTGGCGCGTCATAAACAGCACCTCAAACAAACTATAGGCCTTCGTCAACAGCTGTCTTCGCTCAATTCTACTCAAGATCAGATGGCCGGCCAGAAAAGATCAGCAACAGGGAGGGATCTCTGGCAATGAGCGAACCACCCCGGAACCGATTGTGCGACAAATCTGTAGGAAGAAATGAAGGTGGACTGACCATATTCAGAGGAAACCATCAAGTGACATCATTAGACAAGCCATCGCTCGAGTGGAACCCGAAAGGGAAGCGGCGAGTTGGTCGTCAGTGCGAGGGTGGGTGACTTAGAGGAGATGAAAACATGTGGGCAGACTTGGGAGCCAGGTGATGAACACGTTAGCAGAGAAACGAACGCAATAGAGACGCTTGGCTGAAGCCCTATATTCCTCTAGGAATTAAAGGAAACAATAATAATAACAATAATAAATAATAATCGTCAAAGCTTCTATGCATGAGGAGACGATAGAAGACGACGTCAACAAACAGAGGCCAAGCACTTCAGTTCAATGAATCAACCAACAGGAATGTTGTTAAAATCGAATTAAATCAGTACAAATATAGTACAGCACTTATTATACAAAATGTGTTCAAATGGTATAGGACGAAGGAAGGAAGGAAGGTAGGCAGGAAGAGAGATACTATTACCCCACTACCTTTCATCTTAAAAACATTCCTTTTATAAATAGTAAATAGGTGTAGTGTTACACATTTTTATATAATAGAAACTACAGATATCAAGATGGATAGGATAGTAATGATAAAGTTGAATATGTGACTTTGTGTGTATGCGCTTATGTGCACATATGTTTCATTAGACCTAATCGATAAAGTGACATATCTTTAGGAAAATATTAATAGAAATAAGACATAACTAACTGACTGACTGCAAACAAATACTTTTAGATATTTTAAGTGTTATGAAGACAGAAGAGTGTTTTGGGAAAAAGTTTCAAGTGTTAGAGAACTAGAGGAAACTATATCAAGGAGTACTGCACACATTTATTTCGTCCAAGTTTGAGACTCATCAACCGCCGGCATTCGAATCCAGGAAACTTACAGATTAACTCTTGAGAATTAACCTAGTGTTCACCACAGGTGTCTAGAGTCCTAGTGAGGCCCAACAGTTCAGGAGTGAGGACGAATACAAGAGATATCGGCCGGTGCTATTTGCGCTAAAGTTGCTAATTAGTAGAAGATGAAATTCGTAGGCTCTTGTAAGTCTGGTCCCAGTGGCTGATGGATGGTCTACAAAGCTTGCCTTGTAACCAGGACCTTCTCTGGGTAAGATTCCTGGTGGGTGTTTACTGATAAGGAGTCCCAAACTAGGATGAAACGTCTGTCCACTACTCTTTGGCAGGCTTTCAATGGTTATCTAATCATCTAGTCAAAACTGAAATAATTCAAATCCTTATCAAGTAACTCTTGAAGATTTTCAAGAGCGCTGAAGTACACAGAGTTGTCAGAGTTGTAGGAACATGATTAGTTCCAGGGTAGATTACGTCACAAATCAACCCAAACTAAAGAAAAGCTGGGAGGTTTTGTACAGTTGTTGTTCTTTCTTCAGTTTGCAAACGTCCAGCAAGATTCAGTCATAAGAATATATAATTGAAACTGGGAAAGACAGGTACATCCAGCTGGCGGACGAGTCCCAAATAGGCAGGAATACGCATTCTGATGGATTCCACTTCGAATCACCATCAACCAATTGACTTCAAGTTATAAATAAAAGTCTATAGTATTCGACACCATAGAATCTTTCTAGTGAACCGCAAATCAGTCTTGAGATCGATTTCCTACTATTCGATAAAGAATCATAGTAAATCATTGAGTCCGTAGAACAAACGTTAGACGGTCATGGCTTTGTATCACAAATTTGTAGTAAACGAACTTTTTCCGGGGAGGGGGGGAAGATTGTACTCGTCTCGAAATCTATCAATCCTAGGTCTCAATGACTCGATAAAATCGTGGATTTACCTTGTGGAAAAGAGTTTTACAATGCATCGGAATACCAGTCGATGGCTTATTGACTTTCATCTGTTTTCTTGATGACATATGCCTATGACGAAATCGAAAGGTAGAATTCTCCTTCTCTAAGAGTTTTGGAAAAAGTTGTGCGAAAATTCCTTCGGAATTATTTGATAAAACTTAGTAGTCCTGTGCATTATTGTGTAACAGGAAGAATCCCATCCAATAAATCAAGGATGATCATGTCATAAAAGAGTGAGAACTTAGTAATGCAAATGAGTGAAATTCTGTTTAGTCGAGCACATAGTTATATTATTATTTATTATATTCCTTTAAGTTCCAAATGGAAGATAAGGCTTCTAAAGCTAGAGCTTCGAAGTTTTGGTAGCATTGGCTTTCTTTTTGTGGAATAGGATTGCTAGCTTCAACGCCAACCAACCTTTCCTTCTCGACCAGACTTATTACCGGTTTAGGAAGGTTTAGGAGTCTGCCAGCCTGGGATCGGAACTCGGACCACGTGACGGCTACGAATGGCAGTAATAATACTTATTGTACTGTCAGAATGGGCTATATTAAATGAGCTTAACTAATATGCACTGAAGGTGCCGACTGGCTATCTAAAACTTAATAGAGAGACACTAACAACGACAGATTATATCTACATTAAGCAATAACTTAGATCTTTTTAAAGATTAACTAATGTTGTATTCTAGAAGTGATTATTTTCAATTCAGTGTGAACCATAAAAACTAAAAGACTGACTGATTACAACAGAGAACTTTGAACAGAAGTGCAGAAGTTTGAGTTGTTTCACTCCATATGTACCACACAAAGCAAGAGAAGACTTTAAAAAAGATAGATAATAAACAGAAGTGATAATGAGGGAAAAAGAATGGTAATATTGAAGAACGGCAAAGTTTTATTGGATATGACTGAAAAATCACAAGGAATGAAAGCATCTTCGCCATATCAACAACTACCTGCAGTCTTCATTGGTTCTTAACACCTGAAAGTCAACACCGTCCTATGTGTCTCAAACTAACTAGTGAAAATTTCATGGACTGATTCTGTGTTTCAGTTTGAAAACCACTAGACAACTTAATCGACGAAATTTCACTTAGACGTGATATCCGATTATCGACCAAAGTGCGAGCGTACTGCTTAGCAGTCCGCTCCACCCCCGTTTATGGCTGTGAGACCTGACCATTGAGAGTGGAAGACATGAGAAGACTAGCTGTCTTCGATCAAAAGTGCCTGCGCTCTATCTCCCGTGTGATATGGTGGTATAATGAGGTGAGCAATATTGAGGTTAGGCATAAGTCGAGTGCTAGGTAGGTGGGAGGGGAAATCAATCGACGAGGCTGTGAAGTTACATCGACTGAGATGGTTAGAACATGTGATACGTATGCCTATCCTAGCCATCGCCTTCCTAAACAGTGGGCAATGTTAGCTGACATAGTATCAGGTTGGAAAAGAGCTAGCGGCGGTCAAACATGTCACCAGTCAATCAAATCTACAACAGTTAGTTTAAGCCAGTCAGCCATGTAGGAAAGTGTAGACTTCCTAACTGGTTGAGGTCCTCGGGACGGTAAACATCAATGAAGGCTGGAAACAATTGGTTATATGGCTCAAAATCGTTCTCAATGGCTGGCTGGTGCAGATGCATCCATTCCTTGTGACTTATGATTTCCAATGAAACTATATTCTTCTTCGTTATTACTATTCCTTTGCCTCACACCTCTGTTTACTGTCTCTATTATGCATTTGTTCTACTTTCTTCTGTTGCTTTGTGTGCTACAAGGAGGGAGTGTGGCGACTTGAACTGGTGCACATATCTGCAAAGTTCTATGTCGAAAACAGACAGATGAAATTTCACAAACTCATCGATTAGTTTTCCCTGCTTACCTAACACTCTACGCCTAATCTTAATATTGTTCACCCTATTCTACCACCTTATATCGGAGGTCGAACACAGCCATGTAAGATCAAAGACAGAGAGCATATTCATGTCTTGCACTTTTGGTGATGATCTCTCACATCCATAAAGACGGATGTACACCCTTTCATCGAAAGCCGACCGGATAGTATATTCACACTAGATATGGCATAAGTTAAATCGTAGGTTACACGAGCCTTTTGTATTCGTGTTCAGATTACGTTAGCGACCAATCCGTTAGGGCTGATGCAACTTCTTAAATAAGTGAAGCGATCAACACACTCTACCACTTCACTCCCTATCTTCAAGCTAGGATTATTTTAAGTGGAATACAATTTATAATATTACCCGATCATCAGACGTTCAGTAGGAAGGGATGTCTTCAAAGCTGCGATTCACTAGGCAGAGGTGAAAGGAAATATCTCGAGAAAGGATTAAAGTTCAGCATATTATTCCTAGTGTTAGAGCGGCATTAAGCCTAGTAGATACGACACTTGCTGACCAGGTTTGAGCACAATGTGCTTTAATTCCGTAACACTAAAAAAGGTAGGAAAGAACTAGAACCAGAAATCTTAGTTCTAAAAAATAAGTTAAGGGGTAACTAGAACATGGTGATTACCAAATCAGACAAGTATACTTCAACAGTAGCTATGGAGAAATTATATTTCATCATGAAGGCACGTAAATGCATTCACGAGGTCTAAAAGGATGGAATTCAGAAACTTGCAGATGTGGTTGAGAACAGAACTCAAACATCTACAGCTGATCTAGTACACTCACAACATGAAAACGAAAATAATTTAACTTTATATTAAAACTTAATGATCCTAGTGAGATGCATGCTACCATTAAAGTTCATATTCCTCATGGTTGACACACGCAACCTATGATTAATCAGCATTAATACTGCCCCCCTAGAAATAGATCGACTTCCTGTCTAAATAGTTCATGGGAGAAAAAACAGCGGCTGGAAGGATGATGTAATATGTCTGTACGCAGATATCATGAATAATGTAGCTCTGAAAACAATTGCGATAAAATGACTAGATTTTGACACAGAGGGTACAGGGGGTAAAGTTTACGTGTTGTACATCATGAGCCAAAGCCTTTCTTGACGAACAATGTTAGCTGACAAAAGGATTGGGTCAGGTAAGAGTTGGCGGTGATCAAACTAAGACCTGGCATCAAACTATCAAGTCTTCGATAGGTATTTTGAGCCACTTAAGAAGGTGTAGGCTACCGGGCTGGTTGGGGTCTTCGGTATTTTAAAAATCAATAGATTGAGGAGGCTGTTGTTGGTATGGCTCAAAATCGTACTCACTGAATCAGACATATTTACTCATTAATATAGTTCTTTTGACTCTATTGTTCCCCCTTTTTCTCCACTATTCTGTGCTATATGGAATGTGGAAACATGAACAGTAGCACTTCTGTGCAATGGCCCATGTTGAAACCGATTCTGTCAGTCAGTTATGCACTGCAATACAAAATAACAACATTTCTTTTAGTGTAGTATGTACAATTGTTAAATAACTTGTTAATTATTACAAAAATGCTACATAGTGACCAAATTCCAGTTTAAACTCAGCCTGAGTTGCTAGAAGTCGCTTAGATGGAAGCAGAAAAGGGATCAGCATCTAGTGAGTATTAGTTACTACCGTTTAAACAGGTGAGTAACAACAGCTACTGCTGCTTAAGGGGTACACATTAAAATGTAACGCCTACTGGAACAGAAAATGTTGATTTAACTTGATGGGTATACAAATATTTTCTTTGAGTTCGAAATAATGTATGTATATCAGTTAGATTCAAATCTTAACACCGATATTTTGTATTATAATTGCTAGTATGTACTGGTGATAAGAGAATATTTTGACTAAGATTACTAAGGAAACATATAACTTCCTGAAAGACATGAACAAAACTGTTCACTTTTGCACGTGTGTCATTCATTTAACGCAAAATAGCAAATTTTCGATTCACGATATTCTCTAATTCTCCAACTTCCTTCTTTTTTTATTACGGAGAATGATTTTTATAGCTCAAAGGGAAAAATCAAAGAATCCCTAGGAGTTCTCATGGAGCACCATGAGATTAAACCAGGAAATTTGGAAACAATGGACCTACCAAACATCACACGTAACTATTTTGACCAACAAATGAGAGAACATGTTGTTACATTACTAACACATAATGTAATCACCATCCTGTTACACAGGTTGGTATTAACTGCTACTTATTTATGAAATTCTATCTAACATGCCTTAAACAAGTGACTACCCAAATTTATCACCACTGAAAATGAATCACAAAAAAGAGGATGGCATACAGATAAGATACAATTATTTCAATCAAGTTACCTGCCAATTAAATGATATTTCCAACTCACAGACAAACACAATTTGATTTCCTCAATATTATGATAACAACCAATTCAATACATTACGAATACGAAGGAATTAAATCAATCTAATGAAGGAACACTATTTATGGATTATATCCAACACATTTGTAAGAAATAAATGGCCGGGTATAGGCGGAAAGTGACTAGAAGTAACGCCACATGTAGATAAAACGAGACAAAGTAAAGAGCGGCACTAAAATGCGCGCGCTTGATAGAAGTAAGTAATAGTAGATCGAAAAATGATGCATATAAACAAACCAAAGAGAATATTATGTTCCTTTGTATAGTGGACTTATATTCAACTACATGGTATGTCTGATAGTATTCTACATCCCAGATTGTGCATAATTTGAGCAGTCGCTCTATTTCTAATAATGAAATTCAATCCTAAAAATAGTCAAATGGCCAGAATTCTTTCCGTGCAAGAGTTCAGTAATAAATGCACCCTCCCTATCAGTTCTGGTCTTAATTTGTCTACAAGTCATTCAGACTCAGAAGCCACAGCAGAACACAGTGTTGTCCTGAAGAGAAGAGTGGAATGTTCATGTCCTCTCCATCAGATCATTTGATGAGCTGTCACCACTCCCCGCAATTAACGATACAAGATGATTCATAGTTAAGTGCTTATATTTGTCGTCAGCCCGTATTTCAAAAGCTTATTATCCGACTTTAAATTTATTTCGATGATAGCTTTGCAAGTGTTCTTTCGTTTACTTATTTTTTAACTTGAATCCTTGTATATCCTGGACTTCTCTAAAGGCTTTCATTTTTATCTTGAAGGTTTCCTGCACTAGGCAAATTTCTCAGCTTATATCATTAACACTACATTCCGTGTCTAGCAACCTGTTTCTCGAAGTGTATGTGGATATCTGATGGAATCCACATTATGAAATGTATGTCTTGTACTTTCTACCTCCGACCACTATGTCTACGAAGAGTTCTCCCTTGTCACCGACTTCACCGAGTGCCTCTCCACGCTTTATGACTCTTCTTTCTGGGTTTCTTGATTCCATTTTAGCACGTATTCACATTGCCCACGAGAATCTTGATATCATCTGATGTTTGCTGCAGGTAAGAAAAGCGGCTCCTATTAATTCACCACCTATATGCATGTATTCTCCAGGCGACCTGTTTTCCGTGTTTTCGCATTCAGTCACCCGACTGATATCAAATGACATCCCCTCACCTATCGCCCCGTAATTTTTCATCTTGGGGTCAAGATCATGGATGGTCTCTTGTGCGCGATGATCACAAACGACCGTGAACGCTCTAGGTTATCGTCGGTAGGCTCTGTAGATATTACTTCCTCGTGTTTTGTCGGGCGTTTAGAATCACCGGAAGTTCCTTATTCGTGAATTCTAAAGCCACTTGTATATTGACTTGCATAATGACAATGAAAATCTTAACTTTAACGTGATGTAAGTTTGCAGCATCAGTTATCTACTGCCAGACTTAATCCAGTGTACATTTTATAGCGACAGGTAATGTAGTTTTCACATACTGTGTAAACTAGTAGCGATAAATTCGACAAGAAAATGTGCATGCATATAAACAAGTGAACCCTATAGAATTTCAGTGAAAGTCTAACTAACTCATTGCTGTTATGTGAAAGAACCATAAAAGATGGAGCACGTCCCGATTAGAAACTTTATGCACCAGGAGTTTGTAGTTGGATCCGGAGATTAATTTGGGGGTAGACAGAGGCATTATATATTTCCTCGGCAGTGACATTATATTTAGCTTGTTCAGCATCTTCTAGCGCTTCCAAATATTGTCTTAATAGGGATACATAGGCACAAACTCACTTGCCACTTCTGTACTCTTTCCTTGCGCTGTTAACATGCACATTGTCTGATATTGTATTTATACAATTTCCCAATCTTTTTCCGTGAATTGGCCTAGGTTTCCATTTTATTCATATATACTGCTCACCAGAGCACATTACAAGTTAATTGAGTCTTTTTGACTTCTGTTTTGTAGTCAATTCTTTCAAGTTAGCCAGACTACTGATTTATTGGTCAATTTGGTAAGATACATTTGTAAGGAGCTGGTATTGGTTAGCTAACCAATAGCACTGTCAGTATCTTGCAAGCTTATTCACAAAACATAACCTCAGAAATAAAGTTTCTTATTTCAGTGTGCCCCGTCGTCATACAAAACACAGATCTAACTTCTTCACTGTAAAATATGGCCCTATTTGGAATTGTGTTTCAAATTAATTTAGAAATAGGTCTACCCCGCAAATATTCTCATCTGAACAAGTAGACTATCCCCAGTGGATTATCAACGGCCTGTGATAAATCAAAACTTTAGGTTTTCTTAGCTCCCGAAATCTACACAATCCTTCTATTACCCTACTTATACCCTGGATGGTTTCATGACTCATAGCCTTGATTCACATTCAGCTCCTGGAGACAAGTAAATTAAACGCATCTCTGACGGAGCTGTATTATTTGCATTTCAGTCGGCCTAGAGTTCACTTTCGGGATCTACTAATAAGTTATTTAAAGATGATTGGTATTAAAACCTCTGTCAATCACGTCTCATAAACCGTTAATGCCCAGCTCTCGCTACGCTCGGGCCCACGCTGTTCTTCGAAGATTTCTCAGAAACGCTTAGTTATAACGGACGAAAAAACCAAAACACCGATCTGCCGTTTGATATTTCTTTATTGTTACACCAACATATAAAAAGAATAAGCGAACTAAGGTTTCTGACGATGTTTCACTCTTCTTTCTGAACAGCGACCGATGAGACGATGACTGTCGTATTGACGCCTCCGCGAAAATTGGGGAAGTTGATTTTGAGCAAACAACCAAGAATTGATCGTTCAATCTTCAACTCCATTGACAACCTCCTCTGGTGACTTACTGGAATCCTACAAAATCCTGTGACTGTCATACTTTTGGAGCCATTCAACTCCACTAAACTCCACCTTATGAATGTCAGATCAATTAATTATTCAGTAAAAAACCTTTGAGCATTTCAGCGTGGCAAGAGTGACACCTCAATGTAGAAATATAAATAACCTGAATGTTACCGGCATTAAAATCGCCTCAGGTGACTACTTAATGTTGTGTGCAGATACCATCTACGTTGACGCAAAATCCCACCCAAAAGTAATCAAGTTAACTGCACGGTGAGTCCCAAATATTTACGCATTTGATTTCACTTTTCTACTACTATAATCCCGTGTAGACGGGTCCTTCTGAACCATATGTTTTAAGTTACTACTGTCTCTTTCTATGCTTATGCAGTTCTTTTCTCACTTTTTCTCGTTGCCCATTGGTTTTCATTTGTTAATATCTAAAGTCTAGAAAGTAGACTGAAACCTCCTGATTTCTTTACATTTTAATTTTACATATATATTTTTAAAATTCTGTAACAGACATGTTATGTAAGATGTGTGACTGGGGGTAGTCGTTCATACCGTGAGGCTGTTTAATGAATAAACAAAATCTATATGGAATACGTCAATTAAATTTTGGAAGAAGAAGTATTTCTTCAAGGCCTAGTACATAAAAAGGTGGGAGGTTGATGACTGCTATTCGGCGGATAGGACGGAGGGGAATTAAGAGAACCACCCTTATGTGTGGGACCGCCCTTTATTGCTAAGTCTCCCGAGTTTGAATATCTTCAACAAAAAGAAAGATAAAACTGTCTGACTGCAGCAACATGGGTACAAGCTCCCCGAGTACAAGCACTTTGTGTGATTTCTCTACTTCAGAAGGACATCTAACTGTACGAATGAGAACAACAGCATAAATATTATCAAACTTTCGCTTTTCCTCTGCATATTTTATGCACTTCGACGTTTGATTTTAACTTATTTTTCACTATCTAATTTTACCACAGCTCTAAACTGGTGGGGACATTCATCCTTTTTGTCTTGTTTTTTAATGCCGTACGCTTGAACGAGGTGTTAGTAGGAAACACTGTGAAATTCCCTGACTGTAACTTCTTGGTAATAAAAGAGGGAAGGAACCTATGGAGTACGTAACAATATGATTGCACACTTTTTGTTAGATGTTGAAATTAGAGACATTGTACGGGATTTTTGTTCAAAACGATTCATGTTTAAATATATACAACTTCCGTATACGGTACGAAATACACTATACTGTTGGTAGCTTTGCCTTCTCACTGGCCATTACTGTCTACTTGCTCCACTCACACCGTGTTGTATACCTTGGATTTATTGCAGGAATTTATTATCCTTATCCAAAGACAGCTCGGCAACCGGCACACTGCTTCTACTAGTAGACACGATTCCAACAGTGAACGCTTCTATGGATTATATTAACTATTTTTAGCCGTGGAGTTTAACAGTATATTCAAGTAACCTTTTTATTATTATAACTCATCACTGCAGTTTTGATAATATATTGTTACAATATCATCTCATTGACTTGGATTTTTATCCGCATATTTGTTGTGTTACTGAGCTCTCTAGACAGTCCCCCACAAACCTGGCGTTTATTTATGTATTATTTATTATATGTAAATATACCTATGGTAATATATTATTCATAGTTGCATTTTGTACCCTTTTACAGCTGCGCAAGATTTTCCTCTGTTCCTAAAATAGCGTTCAAGTGCGTGGGGACATAACTCTGGTTCCAACATATGTTGTTTATCGATCGATTATGACTAAAATCAAGAAATGGAACGAAGTTTGGGTTGTCGCTCAACTCCGATGGTGACCTCCTTGAAAGGTCTACAAGTTAACATATATAAAAATCTGTTCCAATTGCTTGCACTCTAATTCAACAATTTGGACTTTTGAAAAGTGATAATCTATGCTAATTCACAATTGTAATTCGTAACATGATTGATCGCGCCTGTAAAAATGGCATGCATTTCGTATAAGCTTACCCTTTTATACGAACTATATATTTTTATTATGTGTTAATGCACGCTGTAATGGTCTATTTATTTTCAAGAAGTAGAATTGGAGTTATTTAAATCCGGATAAAATGCTTTGCATTGCAAGGCAACGACAATGTCAAGAACATGGGAGACTGGATGACATTTCCAGTTAATTGGTGGTATCCACACTAGTGAAGCGGTGATAGATAAGTTTATGTAATTACTTCAAACAAAAATCGGTCGCGTTAACTCTTAGGCTATATTCCCCACGTAGTCAATTAAAGGAAAACTTGAGAGTAAAATGATGCAGGTTAAAACAAAATCGCATTGGAATAAAACATTTTAGGGCATAGCGATGAATATTCACTGTAGACGATCAGATATCTAGCTGCGCAGCATGTTAATTAATTAGTTTAAAAATCTTAAAGAACAAGGTTGGACAAATTTTTTAATTTCAGCTGAATATCTTTTTATTGCTTTGATTACTTATTTTACTTTAATAAAACTTTTGTTTCAAACTTTATTAAAGAAACCGGAAAGATTTTTTCATATTGAGGCAGTGTTCATAGACTGATCAGTGGTTGTCATTGGCGAGTGCCTTTATTATCTCAGCGATTTGCCTGAAAGATAAAAAATTCGTTATGAACAAACCGATGGCAGTAATTTGTCATATGAGGATTCACTACAGAAAACAGATACCTCAACAAAGAAATAACCTGCCATACTTGAGTTGCATAACTGAGGTAAAACCGGAAAACGCCACCTTCATGCGTCTACATGGATGAAAATTTTTCCTTCTGTGACAATGAAGCAGTCATATCACTAGTCATTGTCCTCTTCACACGACCTACAGTTTAAACAATTCACCGTAACACTGCCTAAATGTCGCATCGTTGAACATTTCGTTGGCAAGTCACTAGCTAGGGAATTTATTTGTTGCATGAAATAACGCTATGAGTAACTGTATTTTCTGGTCGTTTATCTTTTGTACTTTTGCTTGTCGTTTGACGACTTCTGAGTCAGTGAAAGAATTTCATATCTTCTCGAGAAACAGTGTAGGGTTTTCATTTCGGAAGAGAACATAATTTTAAGTTCACTATCGTTTGTTGATGGACAATGGTATACTAGACTAGAGGCATTTTCTCACCAGTTTCACTTCCAGTGTACTTCTGGGTGTGACATTTTCTAGCAACGTTTCTGATATATCGGGCAGAAACCATCACAGAATTCTTCTTGACTTTTGTGTCTTGTCCAGGATTTAGGCGGGACATGGTTGCCTGGATCAGTCTGTTATATGCCAGGCTATGAATCGGTTTAGAACCAAATGCCTGAGATGGTGAGTTGCATTTTTAAAAAGTGGATGCACAGGATCCAAAGTATCGTTGAATCCATCCAAATGAATGCTTTTCAGTCAGGTGGGATTCTCATTAAATTCTCCATCGGGACTTGAAGTATTCTACCTCAAATCACATGATTCATCTGTAACCTCCCTCGCAGAAACAAATCATGCGCCTTCTGAAAATGGTTACGCAAATAGTTTGGCACTTAGTTACAGCTAGGTTATCTACAGTTTTATTTATGTTCATGCTTCACACAACTAATAGTTTGATATTACTGGTGAAAACAGAGGGAATTTGCCGAGAAAATTATGAGTAAAGGTATTAGAGCACCTACTTAA